TAAATATTCTTTTTGGTTCAACTCATTCCAGATTTCAAATCCCCATGCCCACCATCATCATCATAAACAAGTTCTTATTTAGTGTCTTAATTGTAGAGGGCACCAGAACTTGATTCATATTTATTTACAACAAAAGTTATAAGATATACCTCTTGTAACCTTTAGTTACCCTGTTCTTAGGAATTCTTTCATAATTCTTTTTCCAGGAAAATTGCCTCAAAGCACTCCCCATTCCATCTTGTTCTTTTGCATTATTTCATTACAGCTAAACTCTTTGAATGTGGCAGCAAAGAACTTTGAAAATAAAGAGAGAATAAGTCGAATAGGTAAAGATAATAGTTCATTCACTGGTCCTAATTTCCCAAACAGGTTTTTGGTTGCTCTATGGCTTGAGTTTCACTGTTAATGGTAAAGAAAATAATTACAGCATAATGTGCCCATGCATTAAAATTTTGATTTCCATTTTTTGTAGCTATCTAACCACCTTGTATTTTCAGACTGTAACTTTTCTCAGTGTATTTTCATCTTCAAAATAAAAACTTTTCTGGCAAGATTGATTTCAATCTGTTTAGTGGTTCTTATATTAGAGTAGATTCAAGAAAGGAAAAGGAAGAGATAGTTGTAATCATATAACAAAATAGAAAATACTAGTGTTTGTTTCTCATTAAAAAATCAAAGGCAAAACTACAATTGGATCTGGCCTATAGCCATTCATCCTAAATAATGGAGGAAGAGAAGCATAAGGCAACTCCATACAGACTTGGCACAGAGTTTCTGGTTTCTAATTTTGCACAATCTTCTGTGTTCCCTTCTCCCAGAAAGTCACATTCTAAGTTTTTATGGTTAAATGGTCTGTGACTGTGATGGTCCCTTCTCCTCACCTACCCCTAGCTGCTGCTAACATCTCTGGGTTCCCATTATATTCTTCTCTGAAAATCTCACACACAGATACATACACAATCATTTACCACATATGAGCTCATTCACTGGTACACACAAGCTCACATGCACACAGACATATACAGTCACATATAGCCATTCATATGCACATGGTCACTCACACTCCCCAGCATGAATGCATGCACATACACACATACACACTAGCTTAGCACAACCCACCTATAGCTTTGAATACCTATATAACCACATGGTCATCTTTCCACATGGTCAACATCCAAGCTTCACTCCTAAGCAGGATGAAAACCTTACATCACAATGGTAGCTACTAAACCTTTTGGGATCTACAATACAATAATCACATTCACATCCAAGACCTACTCCCCAAGGTCACCCAGCATGCTGAACTTTTCCAGTGCCAGCAGTACATGACTCTAGCACATTCTGGTAGATTCATCTGGTAATCAAGGTTATCAAAAAGAGTAAAATATAGAGAGTTAACCCTGAATCTTTTTTATTTTTAATTTCACAGAATTCTATAATATAAGTGTTATAGTTTTAATTTGCATCTCTCTGACAGCTGGCAATACTGAGCATCTTTTCATGTGTCTCTGGACCTTCCGTGTGTTCTCTTTGGAGAAGTGTCTGTTCAAGTCCTTTGCCCACTTTTTAATTGGGTTGCTTGTCTTCTTAGAGTGGAGTCATGTGAGTTCTTTATATATTTTAGAGATTAAACCCTTGTCTGAGGTATCATTGGCAAATATGATTTCCCATATGGTTGGTTCTCTTTTTATTTTAATACTGCTTTCTTTAGCCATGCAGAAGCTTTTTATTTTGATATGATCCCATTTGTTTATTCTTTCCATTATATCCCTTGCTCTAGGGGACATATCAGTGAAAATACTGATGTGTGAAATGTCTGAGATTTTCCTGCCTGTGTTCTCCTCTAGGACTTTAAAAAGCTATGGTACATTTACACAATGGAATTCTACTCAGCAGAAAGAAAGAAGGAGCTCCTACCCTTTTCAACAGCATAGATGGAACTGGAAAGCATTATGCTAAGTGAAATAAGCCAGGCAGTGAAAGACAAATACCATATGATCTCACTGTTAACAGGAACCTATTCAACAAAACAAACAAGCAAGCAAAATATAACCAAAGACACTGAAATTGAGAGCAGGGTGATGGTGACCAGAGTGGAGAGTGGAGGGAACTTTAGGGAAAAAGAGTGAAGGGTTTGCAGGAGCAATTTTAGAGGACACATGGACAGTAACAGTGGGGGGAGGTGGAGGTGGGAGGGAGGTCGGGAGGGCTGGAGGGTTGGGCTGGGGTGGGGGGAAAAGGCAGAAAACTGTACTTGAACAATTTTTTAAAGTGTGAAAAAATATATAAGTGTTATAGATTAAATTGTATTCCCCCAAAAGATATGTTGAAGTCTTAACCCCCAGTAAATGTGACCTTATTTGCATATAGGGTTTTTGAAGTTGTAATAAAGTTAAGATGAGATTGCTAGAATGGAGCTTGATCCACCATGACCAATGTCCATATAAGAAGAGAAGAGATAGAGAGATACACAGGGAGAATAGCACATGACAACAGAGGCAAGGATTGGAGTGATGCACTTGCAAAGCAAGGAACAAGTGCCACCGGCCACCGCCAGGAGCCGGGTAGCAGCAAGGAATGACTATCCAGTGTCAGAGGGAGCATGGTTCTGCTAACACCTTGACTGAAGACTTCGAGACTTTAGAACTGCAAAAGAATAAATTTCTATGTTTTAAGCCACCTAGTTTGGGATACTTGGTTATGACAGCCCTAGGGAACTAATGCACTAAGTATTAAAATAAATTGCTCCTAGTGGACCTCATGATAATGAAGACAAACTGGCATACTGTCAGCCAGCACAAGCATAGGGAGAGAGTATGAGAGTCGGGCTAGGTGAAAACCTGAAGCCTGGTTGTGTTAACCCACCCAGGCTGCTATAGCAGAAGCTCATAGACTGGGTGACTTATAAACAACATAAATTTATTGCTTATAGTTCTGGGGGCTGTGAAGTCCAAGAACAAGGCACCAGTGGATTCAGCATCTGGTGAAGATTTGCTTCCTAGTTCACAGATGGCCCTATACACTCACGTGGCAGAACAGGGATTTCTCTGAGGTCTTTTTTATAATGGTTCCAGTCAAATGTATGAGGGCTCCACTGTCATGTCCTAAGCACCTCCTAAAGACACACCTCCAAATACATTTGGATTTAACATAAATTTTAGGTGACACAAACATTCAGTCTATAGCACTGGCCACTCCTTTCAATCTCGACCCTCTTAAGTCTGCATCAAGCAACTACTTTAAAGACCATAAAGCTCTAACATTTTTATCAAGCAACCACCTTAAGGACCACTCTGGCTCTTTTACAACATTTAAGATGTAGACATTATCTGTTGCTCATGAAAAGATAAATGCTTATGCCTGTGCGCATTTGCATTATATTAATGTAAGCCTTAGGTATTATTTTCTGTACGTTTCTGGGTAAGCACTGGGTAAGATTGTGTTCCTAGCCAATAGCACATTTCCTGCTTTCAATGTCAGGATGACAATAGCTGCAGTGAATGGTGCACCTTTGGTGTGCTGGGGCTACCCCTTTAAGTGAATTGGCAGGAAAGGATTCAAACAAAGATCAGAAGAAGATTCCTTGGGGTGTTGGGAGTACAGCCATGGACAAAGAGCAAAAGAGCACCTTCCAGATAAGGATAATGTGTATTAAAAGAGAAGAAGTTGCCAAACAAGTTCTTATTTATTGCATCAACTTATTTCACATCTGTATTGATATCTAATCCTAAGAACATCTTCAGGCATGAGTGTCATGCCTATCTTAGGGATAATGAAACTGAAGTACAGCGAGCATAAGTAATCTGTTCAAAGTTGCACAGCTAGTAAGTAGAAGAACTAGGGTTTGAATCTAGTTCTGTCTGCCTCCTAATTTTGACTTGTAGTGAGAAACTCAAATATTAGACCATTTTTTAGAAAAGCTGTTCATATTTATCTGAATTAAGGAAAGAAGCTAGGTTCTTTGATTACCAGCTTGATATTATAAGTAGCCATATCTTTTTTATTGAATATTTTACTTTGATATTAAGAAGGCTGGACCATTATGCATTGACAGCAGGGATTTAGGAGATTACCATGGCAATTTTCTCTCCTTCCTCCATAATAATAGGACTGCTGATTTTTAGCTGGAATATGGCCACATTCTTTGGTTTCCTCTCTAGTTAGATGTGGCCATGTATCTAATTGCTAACCCAATGGGAAATAAATAGAGCTGTCATGCAGTTTCAGTAAATTTCCTCAAAGAAAGTTGAAGCATGCCCTTTTCCCATTCCTTCTCCATTCCATCTCTCTTTCTGCTACTTAAAACTTGAATGGGATGGCTTGAACTCTTATGACCATCTTGGACCCTGAGGACAAAGGTCTTAACTCTAGAGATAACAGAGAAATGTGCTGAAGAATTCAAGTCTCTGAGGACTTTGTGAAGCAGTGGCCATTCATTCCTGGACTGCTCACATCCTACTTCTATACAAGAGAGACATTAATGCCTATCTTGTTTAAGATACAATAATCAAAGTCTTTGTTACTTGTAATCAGTGCTAATCCTAACTAATACAGTTTCATCATAGAGACAAAGAATAGAATAGAGATTACCATTTTCCAACAGTTTCCCTTATCATGAAGAATTCTGTCCCTTAAATTAAAAAAAAAAAAAAAAAAAAAAGGATGCCTCCTTCTCCATGTTCCCTGCCTGGATATCTTCATAGAGTTCCCTCCCCACCACCCACCCCTTAAAAAAGTCTCAAACCTTCAAGTCAAGTATTAGGTACTCAATTCCCATCTATTGCCAATAAAGTCAACACAACAACACAATTTGTTTAAGTTTTAAAGTTTTCTCCATTTCCTTCTTTTTCTCAGCCACTACTACTTTTACTTGCATATGTTTTATAATCTGGTTTGTCAAACTTGTATCTCTTTGCTCTTTCAAAACCCTCATTATAGTCTGCATGTTAAGAGAGTATATAATGTGAGGCTCTGCTACTTACTTTTACTTGCTCCCAGTCTTGATCATGGTATCTCCCCTGCCAGGTAAGTATTACTTGTTCCCATTGTTAATGATGTACGGCTGAAGGACTAGAAGAACAGACCTGAGGGCAAAAGGAAAATGAAATGAAATGCCCTGAGCAGCTCTCCAGGAAGGCTTGTCTAACTCTTTACCTGGAAGGTCTCTGTGTTAGAGCTTTGCTTTCTCTCATTATCAATAAGAATATAAATTCACTGACCAGGAACTCTTTCTTCATCTTCTATATGGTGCCAACACTTCATGAATACTTAATAAGTAATTAAATATTTGTAAGAAGAGGAGAGAAACCCAAAGTTTAAAACTCTCATCTTCATTTGTGATATTTTATAATTCCTTTAAAACCTATTCTTTAATGCATTTGACTAGGAGCTGAAGAAGCTTATTACTTCAGCAAGGGGAGGCCCAGAGGGGAGATCAGAGGGATTTGGGGCAGGGGCAGGTGGTAGAAGAGGCATTACACACTTGGGAGCCACCATTCCTACCACCCTGCACTCACTCATGATCCACTCTCTATCTCCACTCTCTACTATGGGACAAAATCCACACAAACTGCACCCTGCAGCTGTTGTTTGACCTACCTGCTTCTGCGAGTCTCAAAATAGTGTGATTGGTGGTGCCCACGACACAGGGAGGACAAGAAGAAGTGGAGGAATTCTTCAGATTATTCCTCAGGGGGGCACTTCTTAAAAGATGGGCTCTAGAACTCCAGAGATTTGGAATTTATAATGCCTATTCTTCAAGATATGGCAGGCAAGATAGTACACTTCCTAGAGTATACTATTTCCAAGTTTGGTTTAGTCAGTTCTCCACAGCCACCTACCTTGCAAAGATGACCAGCAATGTCTGCTCCCTGAGGGCTGCCGTGCCCTGTCACCAACCCCACCCTACTTCCCCATCAAGAAGCAGTAGAGTGAAGTGAGACTGTGGGCTGCCCTAATCCCTGGTACTACCTCCAATCCACCCAATAAAAGATGGACTGCAGGGCCCATAACCCTATCAAACACCTTTCCTCTGTGCCTTCAAGGCTTTTCTAGAAGATGAGCCCAATAAACCTTCAATGAAATCAGCCAGCAGGCTATCAGGATTTGATTGAGAAAAATACTGGGCTGGAAGTAAACCAACTGCTATTGACAAAATATTAAATGAGAAACTGACAGAAATAGAGGGGTACTAAAGCAAAATGAAAAAAAAAACAATAATCAAATAATAGTAATAGCTAACATTTATCGAGCATTTGCTAGGTCGGACATTGTGTATAAGTTATATATTTTGGATAACAATCCTTTATCAGATGTCTTTTGCAAATACTCTCTCCCAGTCTGTGACTTGTCTTCTCATTCACTTGGCAGTATCTTTCTCAGAGCAGAAGTTCTTTATTTTAATGAAGATGAACTTATCAACTCTTTCTTTAGTGGATTATGCTTTTGATGTCGCATCTAAAATTCCACTACTATATCCAAGGTCATCTAGATTTTTTCTTGTTATCTTCTTGAAGTCTTAGAGTTATATGGTTTATACTTAGGTCTATGATCCTTTTTGTGTTCACTTTTATGAAATGTGTTATGTCTGTGTCTAGACTTTTTGGGTGGTGGGAGCAATGTATATATGGATATCCAGTTGTTCAGCACCATTTGTTAAAAAGACTATCTTTTACTCCACTGTATTGCGTTTGCTTCTTTCCAAAGATCAGTTGACTATATTTACATTGGTCTACTTATGCATGGGTTCTCTACATCATTCTACTGATCTGTCTATTCTTTTACTAATACCATACTGTCTTGATTACTGTAGCCTTATAGTCAGTATTGAAATCGAGTAGTGGCAGTCTTTCAACTTTGCTCTTTTGTCCAATAGTGTGTTGTCTTTTCTTTGGCTTTTGCCTCTCTCATGTAAACATTAGAATCAGTTTGTCTATATCCACAAAATAACTTGCTGGGATTCTGATTGGCCATTGAACCTATAGATCAAGTTGAGAAGAATTGACGTCTTAGCAATATGAGTCTTTCTACCCATGAACATGGAATAACTTGCCATTTAACTCTTCTATTATTTCTTCCGTCATAGTTTTGTAGTTTTTCTTCTATAGATCTTGTACATAATTTATTAGATTTATACCTAAGAATTTCATTTTGGGGTTTATAATGTAAATGGTATTATGTTTTTTATTTCAAATTCACTTTTTCATGGCTGGTATCTAGGAAAGTGATTGACATTACTTCCAGGAGGATTTTTGTCAATTCTTTCAGGTTTCCTACATAGACAATCACATCCTCTGCAACCAAAGCAATTTTATATCTCCCTTACTAATCAATATTCCTTTTATTTCCATTTTCTTGTCTTATCATATTAGCTAGGACTTTCAGCATAATGCTGAAAAAAATAGTGGTGAGAGGGGACATTCTTGCCTTGTTCCTGATGTTAGTGGGAGACATGCTATGTACTTTACATAGATATCTCAGAAAATCCTTACATATACCCTGTGAGATAAGAACTGCTATAATTCTTATTTTTCATATAAAGATAGTGAAATCTAAAAGGTTATGACCAAGGTTACATAGCTTGTGAGTGGTTAGAGATGAGATATGCACTCTCATATTCTACCTCCAGTGTCTGACTTTTTAACCACTGTTTCAGGCAGTAAGATACCCTGACAAAAACTGTCAAGATCCCAAATGCTCCAACTTTTCAGCAAATACACAGATCCAGAGGTATAAAAATTAGTACATATTGCAAAAGTTACTCAATTGATTATAACATTAAGAATATATCTGAATTATATATTAATAGATAAAACTCAGTGGAATAATCTGGTGAATTTACCATATTCTTCTTGATTATAATTAATTTAATTTAGCCATATACATATTCCTGGGCTTTATAACATTAGCAATTACACAATATGAGTTAATGTGATACCACCCTGGATCCCTGAGGTTCCTATTCTAAACTGCAGTGAGCATTTTGGAAGTTCATATACAGATAGTGGCATCTATGAAATCATTTAACAATAAAAAATAAACCTGATAAGACTTTGAATATTGTCATCACAGGCAACATACTAGGCTTGTGTGTCCAGAAATAGCTTAATTATAGTAGGTGGGAGAAGAAACAAATCACTTCTCATCCACTATGCCCAGAAAATATTTGTAAATGAGATTAGATTTTAGGAAGGGCCTTTTTTTAAGCAGGAAAAGTAGCACTTCTCCTTTCTGTGTAAACTTCCCACTAAGTGAGATTCAGCTGAGTGAGATTTTAGCTCAAAGATGAAGGTCTGGGGAAACTCTATTGCAGAGTTTCTGAAAGTACATAGTTTGTGGCACAGAGTAAGCCCGTCATAAATAATTACTAAATGACTGGATGAACAAATAAATGAAAGAACAACACTGAGTGGATTTTGGAGGAGGATGGGTTACCTTCCATTGTCCTTATATCTACATCCTGAATATGGCAATTTATGTATGTAACAGATTCCAGAATGAAGGTTTGAGCTATGTACTTCCTACATACACAACTGTTCCTCTGGGCATGGGTAGAGAGCAGGGTGAGGACTGGTCTATTTGCATAAGGACCCACACATCTCATAGGAGAATCAGTGATTGAATGTGGTGAGGCCCAGAGATTTTTCAGCTGTTAGGATTAAGCCTGCCCTAGCACTTCAGTCCTCCAGTCAGATTCACCCTTATTGAGGGACTATAGGTGTTTGTTTCCTGTGGTTGCTGTAACCAATTACCACAAACCTGGTGGCTTAAAACAACACCACGTATTCTCTTATAGTGCTGGAGTCCAGAATTCCAAAGTCACTATCACTGGGCTGAAATCAATGTATCAGCAGGGCCATGCCTCCTCCAGAGGAGGCTTTCAGAACAAGCTGACAGCAAGCAGAGGGAAAGTGGGAGGGGGTTATGGGGGGGGGGAGAAGGGTTTTCAAGAACATCTATAAAGGACACATGGACAAAACTGAAGAGTAGTAAAAAAAATCCATTCCTTGCCTCTTCCAGCTCTTGGAGGCTGCAGCATTCCTTGGTTTGTGGCCAGTCCACTCCAATCCCCAGGGCCAATATCTTCAAATCCTTCTTTGCTCTGGCTTCATATTGCCTCCCCTCTGTGTCTAGCAAATCTCCCTTTGCTTGCTCTTATAAGGATACATGTGGTTACATTTAAAGACAACTCTGATAATCCAGGATAATCTCCTCATCTCAAAATCCTTAACTTAATCATACCTGCAAAGATGTTGCCATATACTTTTATATTCAAAGATTCCAGGGTTAGAGTCTCTTTACAGACCATTATTTAGCCTACTACAAAAACGTTAGCCTGACCAAGGGACCTATGAGGGAACAAGCTCTTGGCTAGGTCTCCAGAAATTTATGCTATCATTTTAGGGAGGGGGAGTTTTACTAAACAATGGCTCAAATTAGAGTGTTACATGTAAATCTGCTATTTAAATGCAACATATTAGGGTTGCTAATATATTTAAGGAACTATAGATTGCTCATCATTCAGCTACTTTGCATCATTTAGTGATTCCCAAGATGATTTGTTTTTTGCCTGAAGCATAATTGCAATTTAATTAATGCTATAAAAATGAATGTGAGCATATTAATGTAGAATTAAGTTACAAAATGTTAAATTTAGTATATATTCTGTGAGGTGTGGCTCATTCATGACTTCTGTTCTTATCATCTTGTGTTGCATAGCTGGTAACTGTAAGTTCAACATGAAAATGGTTTTTGAACATCCATAGACATTTCACTGAGCTTAGGGATGAATTTGTCACTGAATTCTGTGATGATTCGTATTCTTAGTCTGTTGAACTTGCGGGAAAATAATGGCTATGCCATCACTTACATAGGGATCCAATGTTGGCCTAGCTTGCCATAGCATAAGAGACTTGAACTATATCCAGAATTTTTCCAGTCTAACCACAGAGAGAAATGCTGAGCCATTTCACTTGTTTAAAGAAAAGGTATAATCCTGGCATTGGGAGGGGCCCTCTGAGATTTCAGAGTTTAACTACAGCTCTGGTTAACACCAAGCTCAGAAGTCTGGGGGAGTGGGTCGGGG